TACTAGCCCAAATCCAGTTTTCTCCATATTTAAAATTCTATGATTCTATTATTAAAAAATATTATATTAAAAATCATTACACATACTTAAGATCACCTAGTAAACTGTAAAAAAAAAACTCTCTAATATTTTAGGAAATGGCTCTTTCTCACCTCTGCATTAAGAATCTCTATGACAACTTTATGAAAGCTATGGACCCACTCTGCAGAATAATGTCTGTATGTAAAATTCTACATAAATTTAAGCATCAGGTACAATTTAAAGGGAGGAAGTATATTTTGCTTCAAGTCATTTTTAACCCCTGAGAGCAAAACTCAAACTGTAATGTAAGTCAACAGGAAAATGTGAGTCACTGTATCATCATTAATTTACAGATGAGTTTTTAGGTAATACCTATCATTGTACAAAATGCACATATTTGTCTAGAGTCCCTGAATGCAAAACCTCTGACACAGGTGGTATATGAAGATTAGAAAAGATGTAATGAATCATTGAACACTACATTAAAAACTAATGATGTATTATAGGTTGGCTAACTGAACATAAAAAAAAAATTTACATTCCAGAAATATCAATGTTAGCAAAAGACTAACACATATGTTAACAAACACATGTGAAGTTATATGTAGGTGTATATACATATGCAGAGATATGTATATGTGATACACAGTCTGTCATGAACTGCCCAGAAATGGGGAGTTGTGATGAGTGCTGCACCAGGACTTCAAGCCTAACTTCATCACTAATGAATGTATGATCTCAGGCAAGTTATCAAACTCTACTGGACCTTGGTGACCTCATTTATAAAATAAAGGGGTTGTACTAGCCCAAATCCAGTTTTCTCCATATTTAAAATTCTATGATTTTATTATTAAAAATATTATATTATATTAAAAATCATTACACATACTTAAGATCATCTATTACTTTGGCCTGTTCATTCAGTTCTCTGATATCCACTATACGCTTCATAATTTTTCTTCCTCTAAGTTCTCCTGGTTGGCTACAAGATGCTCCTTGTCTTCGATAATCTACAGCTTCCTGTAAAATCAAAAGCATGTCTGTCAATACCATCCTCAGGTCACATAGGCAAATCTATACTATCACAAAAATAACACCTTAAATCAAAGGAAGCATGCAAGAATCAAAGCCATCTATATCAAGTAAGATGATTGGAATTCTCCAGTGATTCAAATCCCTTCATTTTCACAAGGAATCTATGTAGTTGCTACCTACATTTCCCCATGAGTGAGCTCTGCATGCTTTCAAATGGGACTGGCTAGACTGAGGGGAGCCCCACATCTCTGGGTCACACAGATACTCTGCAGGAACAGAATAGCGCTGATTTGGGGGCGTCAGGCCTAGCAGATGATTTACAAGTCGCTGCCCAAAGGTGAGCTTGTGGCCATCTCCACTTACTGAACTTCCATCTGAACTCTAAATGATAAACAGTAACATTAATTTTTTGAAAATTTCTTCCTAAAAACAAGACTATTTCATGAAACAATAGTTAAAAGATACTTAAATTTTTTTAAACCAATACCAGAACAGAAGCAAAGAGTAATTTGCCTTTTAACTACCAAATAATTTATACTATATACAGTATAGAGGGAAATACATCTTTTTAAATGTATATTTTGTGTGCATGCACTTTGCTTTTCAGATTCATTTTTTAGCACCTTTATTGAGATACAATCCACATGTCATAAAATTCACCCATTTAAAATGTAAAATTCAGTGGTTTTGAGTATATTCACAAAGTTGTACAACTGTCACCACAATCTGTTTAGAACATTTTCACCACCCCAAATGAAACATCACAACTAACAGCAGTCTTTCTCCATTCCCCATCCCCGACTCTCCCAGCCCTCAGCAACCACTAATGTACTGTCTATCTACAGGTTTGCTTGCACTTTGCTTTTAATGTTAGTACATTACTTGTAGGTTAAGGCACAAGTTTGTTGACAGTTATTATGAAAACTATTAATGAAAAGACAATATTATGAAATTAAAAAACAACATTATAAAATATAGACCCAGGGAACCACCACTCTCTCCCTTCCTCTACAATTATCAACTACAATATAATAAATAACATTAAGTCAATCTTTTCCTTGTCTCAGGGTAAAGGCCAGTCCAGAAAAGTCTAACAGTGAGTTTACTTACAGTATGGATAGTGGGAGACATAGTATCAACTTCATCCTCATCTGACAGGTCAGCTATGTTCACTGAATTTAGATCAGCAATGTCATCTATGTCCTCCTCTCCTGTCAGGGTCGTAAGGGTATTGCCCAGAGCATTAAGTCTTTTGCCAATGTTAGGATCCATGTGGACATCGATCCCACACATTTTCCACAAAACATTGAGTGTCCATGTTCCAGCACTACTACTTTCTGTTTAAACAAAGAGAAGTGGCATTTTTGGTAAGTCTTGAGTTCAGAAATTTAACTCAATCTATATTTAAGGAATAAAGTGGATGATGGCCTTGTGTAACAACTAATCTCTCTCACAGCTAGGTCTGGGATTGATTTCCCTTTGCAGAGTGTGCATCTCTTGTTCCCTCTGTGCAGCACCCTTCTTTCTCCTGTGAACTATGGATTCTCTCTTCTCCCTGCTCCCAAACTGATCTACCCTCCCATGGCTGTAGTGGGAATTACCATGACCCTCACTCATTAGCCAGAATTAGATAAGTAGGCCAGGTGAGAGTCAAGGTTGGGAAACTAAAACCCTTCCCTGGACTTCAGAAAACAATGGTCCCTCTCTAAAGATTGAAGGTGGGGGAATGAGGCTCATGAGCTGATGGCAGCCATGTCTCCAGCCATGTGTAAGGAGGAGATCAGCAGTATGAAGAAAATGAAGCAGCCAGAGAGGAGCAAAGAAAAGAGCCCTGGTGGCAATTGAAATCTTGGATCCAGGAGTTCCTGAGGGCCCCTAAATTGACCTGGTTCCTTATCTTCACTGAGATAGCCATTCCTAAGTTTAACTGTGATCTCTACATACCCTTTTAATAAACTCCCCCCTTTTGGTTAAGCTAGTTTGTGTGCCTTGTCGTCACTTATAAACTAGAGTCCTGACAAAGACTTTTATGTGGCCTTTCTCCAAATATGTGTGTGTTCACCTCAGTCATCACCCTTTCTTTCTAACGTTACTCCTGGAAATTTCTTTTTTTTTTTTTTTTCAAAGATTTTTATTTATTTATTTGACAGAGAGAGAGACAGCGAGAGAGGGAACACAAGCAGGGAGAGTGGGAGAGGGAGAAGCAGACTTCCCGTTGAGCAGGGAGCCTGTGCGGGGCTCGATGCAGGTCTCGATCCCAGGACCCTGGGATCATGACCTGAGCCGAAGGCAGACGCTTAACGCCTGAGCCACCCATGCACCCCACTCCTGGAAATTTCTTAAACTCTTCTTCAGTTCTCCATCAGTGGGACTGTTGGCCTTGCTACTTTCTGAGACAATTTACTTAGGATGAGCACCAAGGCTAGGCCTGGGGAGGACAACAGGAAATAGTAAGGAGAGAAAGGAAATCTACTAACTTTAATCAGCTTCTACTCGCGCTGACATTTTAAGAGCCCTTAAATAAATATCTTCCTTTAGCTTACCCTTACTTTATACCAAGTAAAATCAAAATCAATAAAAATTTACATTAGGCAAGTTATAACTTCCAGAGTTATCTCCTAACCAGTTTTCTAAGATTTTTTTCCTTTCTCATCCTTGGAAGTGTCTTTCTTGCTCACAAAAATTCAGTGGCTCTCCCACTGTCCACCAAATTAAGTCCAGACTCCTTAATTTGAGATTTAACATTTTTCCCATATTATTTTTCACATAACTCTGTTCCACCCAGGCTGGACAATTCTAACTAGACACCGTTTTCATAGCATAACTAATATTCTGTCTGCCTGAATTTTCTGACCCATACCCTTCCAGTTTCTGCTTCAGAAACAATTTTATCTGTCAAGTCCCTATTCAAATGCTTCTTAAATATTAAAAGAAGCTTTCTCTGGGCCGCATGGGTGGCTCAGTTGGTTAAGTGTCTGCCTTCGGCTCAAGTCCTGATCCCAGGGTACTGGGATCAAGCTTGCCTTTGGGCTCCCCACTCTGTGGGGAGCCCGCTTCTCCCTCTGCTTCTGCCTCTCTCTCTCTGCCTCTGCCTCTCTCTCTCTCTGCCTGTCATGTCTCTCTATCTCTCATGAATAAATACAATCTTAAAAAAAAAAAAAAAGATTTCTCTAATCCTAGTATCCTTCCAAATTTGGAATTTTTCTCTCCCCTCAGTAGATTTCAGAAGCAATTAGAATTTCATATTTTATTGAACTTACCACTTATTATAGCTTAGTCATGCTGCAGAGCCTCAACTACATTAGAATTTATAAATTTATACAGAGTAGAAAGTATATCTTATTCGTATTTGTCTTTCCCAAAACTTTTTGCAGTATATCAGCAAGTGTCTAATAAATAATTGTTAAATAAATAAAAATATGCTAATATCAAAAATAGTTTTAAAATCAGGGAACACCAGGATTAGTTTAGTTAAAAGACTCTCTTAATGTTAATGTAAAGGCTATATATGTCTGTGTATATATGTGTATTTACATATATATGTATAAAAAGGCAGAATTCTAACATATATGTAAAAAAGGTAATACCAGTCATGAACTTACCGGCAGCTGCTTGTCCTGTAGTCCTAGAACATACTTCATAGGTGCCATCTGGAACTACACCTGCCCAAAAATCACCCCAAAAATAGTTTTCAATAAAATTATGGTTGTGAGCATCCTTTCTTGATTAAAACTCTTCAGAGTATAGGGATAGAGGGTACATACCTTAATATCATAAAAGCCATCTATGAAAAACCCACAGCGAATATCATTCTCAATGGGGAAAAACTGAGAGCTTTCCCCCTAAGGTCAGGAACACGGCAGGGATGTCCACTATCACC